CCGCCCCCTGCACCGGAGGACACGCCCCCGCCGCACCCCTCGCGACCTGCGTAGACAAACCTTATATCTCTCCATCTGCCAGCCTACGTTCGTATAGCATGCGTTCGTTGTTAATTGTCCAGACCGTATGCGTGCCTCTCTCCGCCGAGCACGTAGGCGCGTAGGCGAGGAGCGAGGTGAGGTGGGGCGGAGTCTCCGGCGCCCACGCACACCAGCCCCAGCGCCAGCCCCGCTGCCAACGCGTACCCCTCACGCTCGACGCAGTTCTCCAGTTCCGGACCCGGCGGCTTGCCTAGAAAAATATTTTTTTATTAATTAAAACACACTTTAATAGACAACCACAAAAATTTGGTTTAACAATATATTTTCTAAAATTAAGATTGCATATTTTGAAATTTTGTGACTCTTTCCCTTCCTTATGTACGCAAGAATATATTACACATATGTAAATTAGTAAATAAATATACATAATTCACCTATCTCATTGAGCAGGACCTGTGCGTAGTGCGCATGCGCTGTGGCCTGGTACAGCAGACCCACACCCAGCAGCGCCGCCACCAGGATGTTCTGCTGGATGTCTAGCTCGATTGAAGTGGGCGGCAGGAGCGCCTCCAGATGAATGCTCATCATCTTCGTAGCTTGCACGTCCATAGTACCTGAACAATTCAACGCAAACGCTTTTCAAAATGTAGATGGCGTTGTAAATAATCTGTTAGTATCAGCGCCATCTATCGTGCTGACCTCTGTACGTGGCTGCGAGGCCGAGCAGCAGGCCGATGCTGATCATCTCGTTACATTTGACGAAGTAGTCGAACATATTCATGTAGGGCATATCACGCAGATGCCCATTAAGTCCCAGCGCCAGCAGGAAGCCCGCGTGCTCCGCCGACATATCCTGAGTGCCCTGCACATACCACAGACCAATTGCACGGAATGGATTATTAATATAGATTCAAGTACCGCTATAATCAATTATTCATTAATATTATACTCCTTTTTTGGGTTATACAGAATACTTATAACTTCAATTTGACGTGAAACGTTTATTTGATACTTGTGATAGTTGTCTGATAAGATTTAGTTTTATAAAAATATCAAGTATTGGTCAGCCCGAGGTGATGCAAGATATTGTAAGGTATTTGTGTTTATAGTGTTGCACGGCGACTTTAATAAATCAGTTCGTTACCTACCGC